TTGACAGTCACACAGGCCCCCCAGAGGACCCACCAGCTGGATGGAGCTGAGGGCGCTACCCACCTTCACAGCTGGCGCCACTCTGATCCAGTGAGAATCCCCGCTGGCATTCACAGGTGAAGCTCCCAGGAGTATTCTGGCAAATGCCCTTGGACCCACACAGGTTGATGTCCGAGGTGCACTCATTGTTATCTGTAAGAGACAGGGTAGGTAAAGGTGTGTGTGGGGTGGGTATTCCCTGAAGCTCTCTTTCTGTTATTTAAAAGGAAGAGAGATGGATGATTCACTTAGAAAAGACCCAAAAAGGCCTGTAACTGCTCACATGTACTTGTTCACCTGCACATACACACATATATGTACCCCCATATTTTCCCGAGTTTTTATCTTCTTACTCCAACAACAGAAGAACTTAAAGGAATAGCTATCTCCCACAGAGGGTCCTTTCCTCCCCACTTACCAATGCAGGCAGTGTGGTGCTGGGTAAAGCCAGGAGGACATTTACAAGCGAAGCTGCCAATGGTGTTAACACACAGGAACTGACAGTTGTGCTGCTTAGTTGCACACTCATCAAGATCTACAAGAAAGTGCAAGACGGGCATTGGAGTAGAGCTGACAGCACGCGTACCTAGAAGCTGCCTTAGGAGGAAGCTCTGAGTTTTCATCTCTCTGACTCAAGTGTGCCTGGCCAGAACAGAGCCAAGCAAATGGCTGGGAGCACCCAGGAGAGAGGAGTTTGAAAGATAAAACGTGGTCTCAATTTAGATTAAAAATGTAGCTCTTTGGGGGAATCCAAGGAAAACCCAATTCTCTTTAGTTAGGGGAAAGTGGGAATCCCTCAAGAAAGAAATTTCAGGTCAGTTATAAAATTTTAAATAAACTTTAAATGAGGTAAGAGACTAGGGATTCTCAAAAGATTTCCAGAATGTTGAAAAGATCCATTTAAGCTGAAACGGAAAAAAAATGTTGAGGCTGAAAATTTGTTCACTTCATTCTTTGCTGTTTTTTATTCTGCTCAAAGGAGTTGGTTAACCAAACCAAACCAAACAAAACAAAACTTTTTGTTTAGAGATCCTCCTTGGGATAAAAAAAAATTGAGCAATCAGGAAGGGGAAAAAGGAAAGAAAAATACTCATTCCGATAAAACTGCCTACAGATTATTCCTCACGTCTCAATAAAACCCTCCGCTTTGACCAGGCTTCTTTCCTCACTGCCAGAAAGTTAAGGTTCATTCTCAACTCCATTGCTATAAATAACATCGGGAAATACCAAGTGGGTTCCAAATTTAAGTAGAATTTCAATTTTAAAAAAATCACTGCAAATGCAGGACCCTTCCTCCCTTCTTCCCTCCTTCTCTCCCTCCTTCCCTCTGCTCCCCACTTCCACTCCATCCCACCATTTAACTTCTTTATTTCCCTCTTTCTCCTTCAAGACTTCATGGCAGAATACTCTAACTCTCGTTCTGCCATCTGGTCTACCTTCTCCAAATCCCTCATTTTCCAAATTATCCTTAAGTATGACTCACTAGTGCATTCACTCAATATATGGAGTCCTTAATGTTGAGGGAGTTGTTCACAGGAGTATGTTTACACCAACAGAATTTTGCAAAAATCCTGGGTCGATAAGGGATTTTTGTTGAAGCTTTGGCTGCTTCTTAATTCATTGTGACATTTATGTCTCAGATAAGCTCCTGCAGGGCAGGACCTTGTAGAACTGGTCCTGCTGCCTCTGAGAGGCTCAGGGAAGGCCCCTATGGATGCCCAAGGGGCACACTGTAAGGATAGTTGCTGCCACTGGTCCTCTGCCATCTCCCTTCCCTCCCGCATTGGGAGCCTCCATCCAGGCTCTAACACCAGGGGAGCACCTCCTGTGTGTAGAGAGGCTCTTTCGGCAACCTTGTGCCCTGGAGGCAGGTGAGTGGGTGAAGGCACATTTTACTTTACCCTTTGCAGCTCCTTCCCATCATCCTGCAGAATGTAACCTTTCGGGCAGCCACACTGGGTAACTCCCCTCTGGTGTTTTGGCAGATAAAATTGCAGGGTTTGGGAGCCTGGTTGCATTCGTTCAGGTCTATGATCAAAGAGATACAGTGTGACTACCTATCTAAAAAGATGCATAAATATCAATACCCATAAGGTCGAACAAAGAATTTTTGTTTTGAGAAAAAGTAAACTCTGTGAAGTGTTTGATCCTTGTCTTAGGTTTTCTTATGAATTTACACAGGCTTTTTAGATTTTTTTAGTTTGAGGATTTTTTTTTGCCATAATCTACTATTTTATCTAGAGTTAATAAACCAGAAGAAACAGAATACTTACCTACGCAGGAAGTCCCAGTGATGTCGGGAGTGTAGCCGGTTTTACAAATGCAGTGATATGATCCTCTGTCATTGACACATTCCCCATTTTTGCAAACGTCATGGATAACCCTGCACTCATCAATATCTGTAATTTAATAAACAGAAATTAAAAAAGAAAGGCATTAAAGTGGACAACAATAATATGTAAGGATCACTTCAGTGTAAGTACTAATGAACTATGATACTAAATTATGGACCTAAGAAATTAAACCAAAGGAATGACAGCATACATTTCACATGTAATGCTAACTATTTTGAAAGGCAAAGAATAACTTTATCAGACTGTAGTGGTAAACTAATCAGGCTAGGAGAAAACTTTAAAAATAATTTCTTTCTAAATTTATACCGTTTTCCTCCCGTGGGTCATAGAACATCTACCTCATCTAGACATATTTAGCTCCTTGCGCCATCTCACGCCATCAAGCTCGCCTCAGGCTGATGTTCCATACGTGAATCGCAGCAGTGGATCCTTCTGACAAGGAAATCCCACTTTTTTCTAATATTGCATGTCCAAAATAAGGAGAAAGGTTTTCTTCTATTCTTTTTGTTGTGTTTAAAGTTAATCCTAAAGAATATCAAATCACATAGTTGGGGGAAATTGGACTAAACTTCACTTCTTTGGTGAGGGAGGCCCAGGGCTCTGGGGTGGATTCCTGGGCTGCGCCTTTGTGGCCTGCTAAGGAAGAGAGAACCCCACTCACAGCTCCACCAAAGGAGATTTGCTCAATATGCACTGCTGAGCATTAAAGCCACTGTCCACCCCATCTTGACCCACCTATCCACTTACTGCTTGGTGGGGGCCAATACCAGCGATTTCTTCACCTTGGATTGCCAAATAACCATTTTGTACCAACAGCTAATATTTTTCCTGAAGTTTTTCAAGTTTACTCTGAAATGCAATTTAGCCTACCCTCATTGGTCTCAAGAAATGAGTGCTTTCCACCATTTCAATTTTTCCTCCAAAAAATCATAAATTTGTTTTGGTCACCCCATCCAATCTACCCAGTTCTGTTATTCTACCATTAATCACATCTTTCTAACATGAACATAAATCCAGCATACTTTTATACAGTATATTTCAGTCAATTTCAAGAGTTGAAATACATATTGGTGCACTACTTTAGGAATTTAATGTACATTTATTTTAAGATTTATCTAAAAATTATATTCTGAGTAACCAACAACACTTATAACAAACTTTTCTTTAAAAAGTTGAAGACTCCTGCCCTGTCCAGGTAGCTCAGCTGATTGGAGGAGCATCATCATCCCACACATCAAAAGGTTGTGGGTTCAATCCCCAGTCAGGGTGCATGTGGGAGGCAATTAATCAATATTTCTTCTCTCTCTCTCTCTCTCTCTCCCTCCCCCTCTCCCTCTCCCTTTCCCTCTCCCTCTCTTGCTAAAAATCAATAAAAACATATCCTCGGGTGAGGATTTATAAATAAATAAATAAATAAATAAATAAATAAATAATAAAAAGTTGAAGACTCCTTATAAAGCAGAGGCAGGAACCCTAGCACACACAACTTATTCAGGACACTTTGGCAATATGGCCTTGAATATCTAAAATATTGTAATGAAAAATTTTTGTCAACCTCCACTATGCAACTCAGCCTAGGTTCATATTGCAGATTCCATATTCTCTGTTTTTCATAGAACAAATAAACAAATTCTCTGCAAGTATTTTTGGACCAAATGAATTACCTGCTCCATTGGTAATAAACCAGAACAAAGGGAAGTACCTGTTCCATTGGTCATGAATCCTCGGCCATGGGGGCAGAGTTTTTTGAAAGCCACAGTCCCCTGGAAAGGGCAGATCTCGCACTGGGGACCCCAGCCTCTCCCTCCATCACAGCAGCATTCCGACTTGGTGACGGGGTTCCTGTTGCTCGAACCGATCTGGCACATGTTCTGGAGCACCTCCGTGAAGCAGTACCCTTCCCGGTTGTCTGGAAGGGACATTATATTAAAAGGAAGATTTTAGGAAATGTTCTAAGCACAGCAAGCTATCAAAAATTTGGTCAGATATGAAACCCACAAGAGATATTAACACTTTACCCTGGTGAGAAGGAGCGAGAAGGGAAAGCTGGAAACTGCAGTGAGAGAGAAAGGATGACATCTGAGGAGACAAATAAGAAATTCAGTAAGCAGGCAGAAAAGCATTGGTCTGGACAAGGTTGTGACTCTATCTGCTCCCAGAAGTATAGTCATGCCATGGAAGCAGAGAAACATATGGAAGCATCCTGAGCACCAAGGGTTTAAAAAGGCAGAAGGAAATTTCAAACAAGTGATTCAGTGATACAATTAGTAAGGGAAGAACTGAGCTGCAGGGTGGTGCTAAGCCCAATGGACAATCAGTCACTGAGTCCTCTCCCAAATAGGAACATTTTCAACCTTTCCTGAAATTCTGACAGTCTCTATTATTTCAAAGAAGAGATCTGGGTTCTAAGCACCCCAGTGTGGAGTCCAGGTTACAAAGGCATCCCGCTGCACATACTCACCGAGGCACTCATCCTGGGCGGGGCTGGCTGTGAAGCCGTCATTGCACTCGCAGGTGTAGCTCCCCCGGGTGTTGAGGCAGCGCCCGTTCTCACAGATGCCTGGCTTGGTCTGGCATTCATTCTCATCTGTGCGGTTTCATTGAAGGACCGAAAACAAGAGGAATCATCTGACCACTTTGTACAAGAATGGACTCTTTCTTTCTTTTTTTAAATTTAGTTTGTGAATACTAGGTAAGCTATTCACATGGTCCCAAATACAAAAAGTATAAGAACATAATTCAGCAAAATTTCCCCTTTCCCCCCATCCCCCAGCCACCAAGTTCCCCTCCAAGGAGTCAACTGCGTTACTAATGTGTCTTCCCAGAGATGAATTGCACACATACAAGCAAATACACACATCTGTGTGTGTACCTCCACCCTTTAAAAAACATAATTGATGGCATTTTCATATACTTAAAACATAGATGATAGTATTTTATGTACACTTCCAGTTTTTCACTTCATAAAATTTAAAATTTTCCATATCTGTACATAAAGGGGATTCTCAAAGGATCATTTCAAATGAAGGGAAAATTTTTTTAATTTTAAAATCAACATATTAAAGAAATATTGCAATACATCAGTAGAATAATATCTGCAATAGTCAGCTACAACCTAAGGAAGTTATCTAGACTAACCTTCCAGTTCAATATAGATTATGTTTCTTGTAATATTTCAACAATGTTCTTAAGAAAGAATAAATCATAGTTCAATCTCCCAGGTTCAGAGAAAAGCATTCAAATAGCTTGAGATTCTTAGAAGCGTCTGATGAGATAATTTGACTAGGTGCATCCCATTTGAAAGAATAGTTCCAAACCCCTGAGGCACAGATCTCAAACAGAGAGGCAGAGAGTTGGAAGGTGACACCCTGAGAGGGCTCGAACAGGTTAAAAACCCCAGTGGCAGACCAGTGATTCAGAATCTCTGGCGTGGAACCCAAGCTCTCCGACTCTGATGTGCCGCTGAGAGTCCACAGCACAGATCCCAGAAGACCCAGAATGGGATCATCAGTCCACACCCTTTTCCTGTGCTTTTAAAGTCTGCTCTTTAATGACTATTTAATTCTGTTTCTTACAGAGGAAGGGGATGGTGAGGTCCTTAAGATTCTTGACTGACAACATAAAATATGTTTTCTAATGTCACTGATTATTAAAAAGGAAAGGGATGCATGTGGGAGTTTTCTAGTAATTTTCTCCTGTATTTCTTGTCTAAAGCAGTGGTCAGGAAACTTTCTGTATGTAATATTAATACTACAGTATGACTATAAGTATATAGTAAATTTTAGGCTTTGCAGGCCACATGGTCTCTGTTGCAAGTGCTCTACTCTGCTCTGCCACTGTGGCAGGAAAGCAGGCATGGACAATAATTGAATGATTAGAGCTGTGTTCCCATACAACTCCATTTAAATAAAGAGGTGATGGGCTGGCGGGCTGGATTTGAACCTCACACTGTGGTGTGCCAACCCCTAGTCTAAAGCTGTGGTTTTTAATGCTGGATCCACATGATAGGAATTTGGAGGAGCCTTAAAATACCATTGCCTGGGACCCACTCTGCACAATACCATTCTCTGGAGATGGATCCCACTGGTTTAGTGATGGTTTAGTGATGTTCCTTGTTCAGGACCTGGCATCAGAACTCAATGTCAGGGTACTGGTAGCAAAGTTGGGTCAACAGGGAGACATTCCAATGCAGTAAGTGGAACTGACCCCAAAACAAAGGAGTACAAAAATGTGAAGGAAGGAAATAGAGGAAACATCCAATATTCCAATCCTGGAAGCAAAATGTGCTGAGAAAGTAGGCAAAGGCCAGCTCAGAGGGAGAAAATCACAGAGCTCATGGGATTCACAGATCATCAAGAGACAAGGGGCCCTCCACTGGAAGTTATGGCACGAGGTTAAGAGGGGCAAAATGGCTCTGGCCAAGAACATAGCACCCATGAGGATTCAGCCCAAGTCCCTTTTGTCCGTGTCACTTCTGACTCACTCAGAGCTCCTTCTGCAGGGATTCTCTTACCTACGCAGGCTTCCCCGTCAGGTGTGCGCTGATACCCAGGTCCGCAGATGCATATATACGTGCCGATGAGGTTCTTGCATTCCATTTGCTTTTCAGCACAGTCATGCTTCAACTCTTCACACTCATCCAGGTCTGGAAAGAATGTGCAACCACAAATTTATAAGAGAAGCTGC